GGGGGGGGGGGGGGGGGGGGGGCGTCTGTGCAAAAGCACCAGAGGCCCTGCAGGGCCCCACCCGCTCCCAGGGCGAGATCCGGAGGGCAGACGACACCCCCCATGAGCACAGAACCAAGACAGCTTCTGCCCCCCAAAATGGGGTCTGCCCCCTGTTCCCAGGGAGGGGGGCGGGGGCTCTGGCTCCGTCTTCCTGAGCCTCGGGAGTTCCCAGGGCAGGACAGGCGTCCGTGAAAGGACACCATCGCAGTGGCCACGTCCCTGTGTCGAGGTCGGGAGCCGAGACAGGGCAGGGCTGAAGAGAGAGGCACGGCGGGGCGGCCGATGGCACACAGCAGCACGGCGGACAGACAGCCGGGCAAGCCCTGAGCGGAGGTGGGGCCCTGCACAGCACCCTCGGCAGAGCGGGACAGCCTTGGGGGGGCAGGGTCGGGGTCTACCTTGTACGCGACTCGAGCAGGGCATTTCTTCCCCAGCCCCAGAGGCGGGGACATGTGTTTCAGCATCTCAAACATGTCATTGTAACTGATGCGCCCACTGGACACCCGTCCCAGAGCGGCCAAGGCACAGTGGGGCGGTCCACAGCAGGAGCACGCAGCGGAGGGGCGGAGCGGGGAGCGGGCGGGGAGGAAGCAGACAAGAAAACAGATCCGGTTAATCGGGGTGTGGCGTCCAAGTAGGTCAACGAGGGGTTCTCGGCTTGACTCGGCCCCTCCTGGCCCCCACCCCCGGGCCTCACCTCCTCCTCCGGCCCACGCAGGGCAGCGGGCAGGGGTGGCGTCTGAGCTAATGAACATGGAGGGGTGAGGGAGGGCTGCATCGGGGCGGCTTTGGGTTGTTCGTTCTGATCTCACTCTTTTGGGAACCATGGGTCATGCCAAATCAGAAAGGAGCTGCGCCCCCATGCTGCGAGGGCTGGTGGACAGCGGCGTGGCCGACAGGCCAGGGCCAAGAACCACGGCAGACATACCAGCTTCCTTAAACCCTCAGACCTGCTTCCAAGTGAGGCCAGAGGCTGAAGAAGTGGTGGAAATCTAAAACAAGCTGGCAGACTAAGGCGGGAGCCCTGAAGCTCTGGAGCCCACCTTGACCGTGGGGCAAGTGCTGCTTCAAGCCCAGAGACGCCCGAGGCCAGCCCAGGGCAGGGCTGCTGCTGGGTCAGGGCTGGGCGGGAAGTGAGAGACTGCGGGGAGGGAGGAGAAGGCAGGATGTGGCCCGGCCCCTCTCGCGCCGGCTCTGACCGCACGGGACCCAGGGCCGGCCTCCAGTTGGGGCCGGGGAACCCAAAGGCTCCCTGGCTGAGTCTTTCTGAAGCAGCGAGGCCGCCAGGCCCGGAGCCTCCGTCCACCCCGGGACACCGGCGTGTGGGCCTGAGGTTCCAGAGACACAGCCAGGTTCTGACGGCCCAGAAGAGAAAAGAGGCGGCATTTTCCGCAGACGGATCTGCCCTGTGGCCCTCCTCCCACGGTTCCAGACCGAGGGCTCCTTGGCTGAGCAGAGCAGTTTGATCCGGAGGGAGCAGGGGGCTCACCTTTGGTCCCCCCTCTGCCTCTGCCCTCTCCCCGCCAGGGACCAGGCCACTGCTGGGTTACTGGGCTCTCCGGCCCACAGGGGCCGCTGCCCCTGGTGCGCTTGTGCCCGGACTGCCCCCTTCTCAGTCCCTCGGCCTTTCGCTCGTCTGACCATCAGCCCACTCTCGAGAGCACGGAGGAAAAACGGGACGAGGCAGCTGCTTCCTGGACGCGGGGGGACCTGGCCCCCAGCTCCCACCCGCCAGCTGGTCCCAGCCATCGCGGCCCAGCCAGAAAGCTTTCTGTGCACTCTCACAAGACTGCCTGTCCCCAGCCAGCTGGAGGGTCGGGGGATTAGACAGGGAACCAAGCGTCCAGGAGGCCGGAGTGCGGGGCAGGACAGGAGGAGAGAGAGGTGAGGTGTCGTCATTCCCAAACCAGGCAGGAAGTGTGTGCTGTGTTTGCATTTCGGGCAGGGAGTATGTTGGATGAGGCTCTGGAGTTGCAAACCTTGTAGGCCAACCTACGAGGGCAGTTCTTCCCTAAGCCAACGGGTGGCGCAATACAACGCAACAAACTGTACATATCCTTATAATGAATCCGGCAACTGGAAAGGAAACGTCACAGGTTATGGCAACAGAGG